AAAAGGTAATTTTTTTATTTATAAGATTGCAGTATTTCAATATGAGATGTTTAAAATAGATCAAAATCAGTTTGGTAACATAATGATGCAACATAGAACAAAGGGGTTTATAATATATATATATACATAACAATATACATATAATATATAATATACTTTCATTTATATTTTAGTTTAGTTTTGTCCTTTTTTTATATTATTTTATTTATATTAATTAATGTATTAAAGTATTTTTTGTTTCGAATGAATTTAATAATGATTTATTTGACCATATTTTCATATATGTCATAATTAGTTTCTAAAATATTAATAAAAACTCTGTATAATGCTATACAATAATAGTTACATACGCAAACTATTTTAAATTATCAATTCAGATAGGCAGAATTCAATATATAGTAGTGAAAATTTTTTATTAATCTTGAAAATTAATACATATCTGAAGTCAAAATTTTATATCCATTTTATCTCCTTCCTTACTATAATTTCAAATTTAATATTGATCGGCGAAACTTTAATCAAGTTTTTTTGCAAATAACGAAAACTAAAATCAACTGCCAATTATATATCAGGAAAAATTTACTTAAAATATAATCAATTTATAATATACTTCAAACTCATTAAAATGATGAAAAAAAACTAGTCGACAAATTATAAAAAATTAAATTACCTAAATTTTCTTAAATTAATCTATGAAAAGGACAAAAACTCTAAAATGTTATAAACAATAAATAAATAATAATTAATTTAGATGTAAAGAAGACATTAAAAGAAATTATTAATATAATAAATGATATACAATGATATTATAAGAAATTGATTATAAATAATGAAAACTACCAATTATATACCAAGAAAAATTTACTTAAAATACAATCAATTTACAATATACTTCAAACTCATTAAGATAACAAAAAAAAACTAGTTGGCAATTTAATCAAAAATTAAATTTTTAATTTACTTAAATTTTCTTAAATTAACCTATGAAAAGGACAAAAACTATAGAATATTATAAACAAATAAATAAATAATAATTAATTTACATGTAAATAAGACATTAAAAAAAATTATTAATATAATTAATGATATACAATGATATTACAAGAGATTGATGTTTTTAGAATAATACTAGAGAGTAAAATCTTTATATGATATTTTTTTA